ACTCGACATTGAATTTTATGGCGTTTATCCTTCAATATCAACAGTAGGTACATTATTAACACTTAACACGCATCGTTAAGGATAACAATCAGTAAACTTCAAAATAGCAAATTGAAGGTGTTTGATGAAGGTTGATTTTCAGTAATCTCCTTATAGATGTACAGGTATATCGCGTGCTAGTTAAGATCATCAGCTCTGGCTGTTAACCGTTGTTTGAACCGTTATTCAAACAGGTAACGAGTCGTCACCTCCTTCCATACCTCGTTAACATTAACGACAGTGAGGCAGAATTTACAGTAAAGAAAAGTAAATGCCAAACTGAACGTTTGGAAGATCAGAGCAGATCACATGTAACATCTGAACTGGAAAAGTCATGCATCTCACAAATAACAAATCAAATCCACGTGTTCGACATATCCACATCACCGGAACAGTCGTTCGCCATAACCACTTACCTGATTGCCAGTTGAACACCTTCCACATCATGTTCGGTATGTAAAACAGCAGTGCCTGAATGGCCAGCACGATTGGCACCCACTGGTAGTAGCCAACTTTGCGGTAGTCTCGTTCGACAACGTCTCTGAAAGTGAACATGAGCGAACGTCGTCCAATCGCTCGGTCGATCGGTCTCACCTGGGAACGTCTTTGTCGAACGGCAGAAAGTAGGTGTTCTGCACGAAGCAGTAGCTCTCGGCGTACTGCTCCCAGCCGCCCCTGAACTGTGCCGGCACCCAGCACTGGATCGGCTTGCCAACGTACTGTTTGGCGCTGACCAAGATGGCGAAGAACAGCAGGATCAGTGTCGAGTAGTAGTAATTCAGGCGATCCACTATGTCGTCGTAGCACTGCTTGTGGATCGCCCTCAGCGCGTTATCCAGAAAAGGCAGCATGGTCGTCGTCGTCGTCGACCACTACCCTATAAACAGCGAACCGTGTCACTATCGTCCTTCGATCCCCACTCCGCGCACAGGAACACGCACGAGCTAGAAAACGTCGACATGCATCGTCTGACCGAAGAGGAAAGTTTCACCTCTGG